TTCCTGGGAATTGAACTGTGACCTCCTGGTTCATAGGAGGTCAGTGCTCAACCACTGAGCCACACCAGCCAGGTTATACAGCAGTTCTTAATAAAATTTCAAAAAAATCTGTGTCTTTAGATCACACTCTGTGATAAAGATGCAATTAAAGTTAGAAATTAGTAGCAAAGAAATGAATTTTTAAAATTTAAGATTTTAAGCCATAAACATTTATTTAAGAAAGAAGAATGAAAAAGCAGAAATGAATGAAATAGACCAATGGCATAGAATAGAGCCATACTCTGTTCTGAGAAAAGACTTACGCAACCCTGGCAGTGTGGCTTATTTGGTTGGAGCATCATCCCAAACACCAAAAGGTGGTGGTTAAATTCCTGGTCACTGTACAAACCCAGGTTGTGGGTTCAATCTCCAGTCAGGGCACACGTGGGAGGCAACCAATCAATGTCTCTCTCTCTCTCTCTCTCTCTCTCTCATGCTCTCTCATTTCCTTTCCCTCTCCTTCCCCTTCCTCTCTCTAAAATCAATAAAAAAATAAAATAAGTTTTAAAAAGACTGATTTATGGAAAGAGCAGTTCTTTTTTAAAAAATATATATTTTTATTGATTTCAGAGAGGAAGGGAGAGGGAGAGGTAGAAACATCAATGATGAGAGAGGATCATTGATTGGCTGCCTCCTACATGCTACCTACTGGGGATCAAGCCCACAACACAGGCATATGCCCTTCCTGGGAATTGAACTGTGACCTCCTGGTTCATAGGAGGTCAGTGCTCAACCACTGAGCCACACCAGCCAGGTTATACAGCAGTTCTTAATAAAATTTCAAAAAAATCTGTGTCTTTAGATCACACTCTGTGATAAAGATGCAATTAAAGTTAGAAATTAGTAGCAAAGAAATGAATTTTTAAAATTTAAGATTTTAAGCCATAAACATTTATTTAAGAAAGAAGAATGAAAGAGCAGAAATGAATGAAAAAGACCAATGGCATAGAATAGAGCCATACTCTGTTCTGAGAAAAGACTTACGCAACCCTGGCAGTGTGGCTTATTTGGTTGGAGCATCATCCCAAACACCAAAAGGTGGTGGTTAAATTCCTGGTCACTGTACAAACCCAGGTTGTGGGTTCAATCTCCAGTCAGGGCACACGTGGGAGGCAACCAATCAATGTCTCTCTCTCTCTCTCTCTCTCTCTCTCATGCTCTCTCATTTCCTTTCCCTCTCCTTCCCCTTCCTCTCTCTAAAATCAATAAAAAAATAAAATAAGTTTTAAAAAGACTGATTTATGGAAAGCTGATAAATTATAGAGCTGGCATTTCAGATTCATTCATTTATTCAATAGACTTTTACTGAGCACCTAGTATGTACCATCCACTGCTCAAGTTACTGTAGATACAATGAAGCGGGGGGAGTTGGGTATAGAAAAATAGATAAAATGTTCCTGCCCCCAGGTGTTTACATTCTAGTAAGGAAGACAGACAATAAATAGAGAATATAGTTTTAAGTGATGATAAGTATTCTAGAGAAAAATAAAGCAGAGAAGGTAGAATAGGGAATCCAGGATAGGAAGAGTTAGTAGTTTTAAATTGAGTAGTCAGTACAGGTGCACCAGAGAAGGTGACATGGTAGTAAAATCCTAAAGAGGTTATGAGAGCAAGCCTCCTAGATTTTCAGGGAAGAGTATTACAGGCTGAGCACAGGCCTAAGGTGGAAGCATGGTGGTACATTCAGGAACAGCAGGACAGTGAGGGTGGCAGGAGTGGAAGGGAGTGTGCAAATCAGTCTGGAGAGGCCTTATAAGCTTTTGGAAAGACTTTGACTTTGAGTAATGGGAAGTCATTGGAGGCTTTTGCACAAAGTAGTCCTGTGATCTGTTTGTTTTAATGGAGTGTGCTTGTTTTGCTGTGTGGAGATTAGAATAGGGAAAATAGGACCAAATCAAGGAGACTAATTGAGTGGTCATTACAGTAATCCAGGCAAAAAATTACGTTGGTTTAGGTCATCAGAATTTAGGGCTAGTGGTCCAAATGTGTTTGACGGTAGAGCCAATGATATTTGCTGGCAGATTGGATGTGGTGGAAAGATGTTAAGGCTTATGACTAAGCAATTGGAAGGATAGAGTTACCGTTTACTGAGGTGGGAAAGGCTGTGGAAGGACTGGGCGGGGGGTAATTAAGAGTTCAGCTTAGACAGTTTAAATTAGAGATGCCTATTAGACATCCAAGTAGACATGATATCCAGGTCAGGGTTTTAGGCTAGAAATAGAAATGTGTGAGTTGTCAGTGAATAGATGGTATTTACAGCCATGAAACTGGAAGCCATCACTGTGTTCAGAAAAGAAAAGCTGTAGGATACTCTAATGGCAGGGCAATTAAGACAAAGAAAGAGAAGGTAGACCAGTGAGTTGGTACAGAAACCAGGAGTAAGGTGTCCTGGAAGCCAAGTAAAGAAAATACTTTAACGAGGAGGATGTGATCGGTTGTGTCAAGTGTTCTTGGTAGAGCACTGTGACCTGGAAGTCAGTGGGTGAGCAGATTGGGTGGAAAAGTAGGGGCAGTATCCAACCAGAACGAGTTCAGAAGGCAATGGGGGATGGAGAGGGAGAATTAGAAATGGCAGGCAACTTTTGTTTTTACAGCTTTATTGAGAGATAATCTATATATATAAAAACCTAAGTGAACATTACGACCGAATGGCCGGTAACTATGATGCGCACTGACCACCATGGGGCAGACGCTCAGCACAGGAGCTGCCCCCTGGTGGTCAGTATACTCCCACAGCCAACCTCCCGCGGTCCCTCCCCGGTGACCTACTGGCCAACCTCCCACGGTCCCTCCCCCCAGCCTGCCCGCCCCCATCGGCCCTGATCGGGACTGGGCCAGATGGCCCCAATAGCCGGCCAGGCTGAGGGACCCCCCCCCACCTGTGCACGAATTCGTGCACTGGGCCTCGACATATAACAAACTACTCACATTTAAAATGTATAAGTTTGATAGATGTTAACATATGTATGAACATGTGAAATCACCACAATCAATATAATGAACCCATCACCCTCCAAGTTTCTCGTGACTCTTTGTAATCCCCCTCCAGTCCCAAACTGCTTTCTGTCCCTACAAATTAGCTTGTATCTTCTAGAATTGTATATAAAAGAAATCATACAGTGCGTACTGTTGTGTGGTGTGTTTTTTTTTGGTCAGACTTCTTTCATTATTTTGAGATTTACTCATGTTGTCAGTATCAATAGTTAATTTTTTGTAATTAAGATAGTATTCAGTTGTATAGATATAACACAGTTTACCCATGCATTCACTTGCTGATAAATATTTGTGCTGTTTCCAGTTTTTCTTTATTACACATGAAGATGCTATAAACATTTTTATAAGTCTTTGCGTGGACATGTGGTTCTGTTTCTCAAGTAAATTCCTAGGGGTAGAACGGCTGGGTCATGTGGTAGTTGCATGTTTAATTTTTTAGGAAAATGAAAAACTGTCTTATATGCTCACTAGAAGTGTATGAGGCTTCCATTTGTGCACTCTGGTACAGCCAGTCTTTTCCATTTTAGCCATTGTAGTCAGAGTGTATTGGTGTAACATTGTGGTTTTAATTTTCCTTTCCTAATGACTAATCGTAAATATCTTTTTGTGTGCTTAATTGCCCTCTATATCTTTGCTTAACTGTCTTTTCAGATATAAAATAATGAATTCTTGCTTACTCTTAATATATTACTCTACTTGTGCAATATTCCAAAAATAATGTTGAATGGTTTAAGTGGAGGTTGATTGTACTTTTTACTTATTTTATTATTTTTTATTGTACTTTTTAAAAAACAGGCTTTAACTTATCATGGTAATTCACGGGTGGTTATGGCAATGCCGGTGTCATTGGAAGAAATAACTGCTGTCTTCCTTTATTCTAACAGGTTGCAGCATTGCAAGAGGAGAAGAGCAGCCTGTTGGCAGAGAATCAGGTGTTAATGGAAAGACTTAATCAATCTGACTCTATAGAAGATCCTAACAGTCCAGCAGGAAGAAGGCATCTGCAGCTCCAAACTCAATTAGAACAGCTCCAAGAAGAAACATTCAGGTAAAAGACCACTCACTGAAGTCTGACTTTTAAAAATTTGGTAACTATCTCTTAAAGTTAAGAATATAGTATTAGGACTTCTGGGTAGCTGCAGACCAAGGACGCTGTGTAATAAACAACTTTCCAAAAATCTTCCCGCATAACCTGAAATAGCTTTACATCAAGGAACAATTCTACCAAAGCTACACTTCAGTATTACTTGAAGACAGAATGCCCCAGCTGAAATATCACTGTGAGTGAAAGAAAGAAAACAAACACCAGCCCCATCCCACACACCTGTCCTACCCCCATTCTGCCAGGCAAGAAAGGCAAACTGAGGCAAGTAAAGGCAGACTGCGGAAGAAATTGGAGGAAGACAGAAGAATACTAGTGAAGGGGCCTATGGGTGAGTTGGAATAATCACTAAAAAGATTAAATTCACTCAAAATCTGAAATCATTTTTAAAACAAAAATGGAGATTAGACCACAAACTGCAGGGAACAAATTTCAAAGTAAGTGCATCTTCTTCTGTTGATAGAGAGGTAGATTTTTAGAGAGAGAGGAAGGGAGAGAAAGAAACATTGATGTGAGAGCGTAATATCAATTTGCTGCCTCCTGCACACCCCCCATCAGGATTGAGCCTGCAACCCTGGCATGTGCCCAGACCAGGAATCGAACCAGCAACCTTTTGGTGCACTGGACAGTGCTCAACGAACTGAGCCACACTGGCCAGGGCAGTGCATCTCCTTAATGGGCCTGATGCCATAAAAAGATACTGGAACTGAATTTAAAGAGATTGGTACCCTTTTGAGTACTCAGTTTAAAGAGACACGATACAAATGCCAAGTACATGATTTCTAGAGACAGATTTACTTAAAGAACAAACTGATTTAAAGGGACAGTCTTCTAAACACACCTGGGAAAGAAAAAGGTCGAAAGGAATAAGGAAGGGACCAAAAGCACTTGGATAGTGAAAGAGAAAAGAAGAAAAGGAAAAACTTGGTGTCCTGCAACACAGAACAGAACCACAAAATTGAAGGGCTTAGCAGTATGATAAAAATATTGTAATTTATTATAAATATGTTATGACCTGTTTCTTACCTAGAGGTAGATTTCCAGTGTTAAAATAGTAAGAGACATTAAATATCAATTATATTTTTACTTTATCAACTAACTTAGTATGATAACCTATCCTTTATTATTCCTCAATGAAATGTTTCTGGATTTTTATTTTCTTTTTGCCTTAGCAGGAAAAAATGAAAACCTTTAGTCAGAAACTGTAGAAACAATCCATCCCCTATGGTTTACATCAGCAGTTCAGTGTGGTCTGAGGACCCTGCAGGCTCACTGAGACCCTCTCAGAGTCTTAGAGCGCTCTCTTTCCCAGCTACACCTCTGGGGAAAGCTGCATTTCCTCCGTATGCTTCAGCCTGAAAACCGAAACAACAGATGAATGCAGAAACAGCTATGACAACCCAGCTCTTTCATTAAACTGGACTATTTCATTCACTGAAGTGTAAAACATTGCCACTTTTACCACTGAACTATCTTGTCTGTATTAACATAATGGGTTTATTATATATCGATAGATAAAACCTATGTAAACAAAAGTTCTTTGAATCTCAGTAATTTTAACACTATGAAGGGATTCTGAGACCAAAAACTTTGAGAATCCTTCATTTGCATCTTGACTTTCTAAGAATTGGTGGACAGTAAAATCTAAATATGATTTTTATCTTTTTGTTTCTAAATTGTGGCTAGTTTTTTAAAATTATAGTTGATATACAGTATTATATTAGTTTCAGGTGTACAACATAGCGATTCAACATTTATATCCCTTACAAAGTGATCATCACAGTAAGTCTAGTAACCCATGTGTTACTGTACATAGTAATAATAATATTACTGACTATTCCCTATACTGTACCTTACATCCCTGTGCCTTATTTTGTAACTGGAAATTGGTAATTCTTAATCCTCTTCACCTTTTCAGTCCATTCCCCTACCTCACTGTTTCATTAGTTTGTTTTCTTTATGAGTTTGTTTCTATTTTGTTCTGTTCCTTTGTTTGCTTCTTTTTAAAGATTTCATAAATAGATGAAATCAAATAGTGCTTGCCTTCTCTCTCCAGCATAATTCACTTAACATAATACTCTAGGTCCATTTATGTCCCAAATGGCAAGATTTCATTCCCTCTTATGGCTAAGTACTATTCCGTTGTATATGTATACACCACATCTTCTTTATTCATCTTTCAAAAGATACTTTAGTTGCTTCCCTACTTGGTTGTTGTAAACAATGGTGCAGCGAACATAGGGGTGTATATATCATTTCAAATTATTGTTTTTGTTTTCTTTGGAAAAATACCTAGGAGTGGAATTGCTGAGTAATATGGTAATTCTATTTTTAATTTTTTGAGGAACCTCCACCCTTCTTCATAGTGGCTTCACTAGTTTACAATCCCATCAGCAGTGCATGAGGATTCCTTTTTCTCCACACTTGTTCTGTGGTTTGGGTATTTTTTTGGACAATAGCCATTCTGACAGTGTGAGGTGATATCTCATTGTGGTTTTGATTTGCATTTCCCTGATAATTAGTGATGTTGAGCATATTTTCATGTATCTATTGGCCATCTGTATATCTTTAGAGAAGTGTCTATTCAGGTTCTCTGCCCATCTTTTAATTGGATTGTTTGGTTTTTATGTTGGGTTAAAATGATTTATTTGTATATTTTGGTTATTAACCCCTTACCAACTATACTAGGTGTACCGGTTAATAATGGCAGATTTTGTAACCAAAGAGAACACGATAATTTCAAGAGAAACATCAAAAGTGCTTTATTCAAAGTAATGTCTATCGCTAGCTACACATTTCCCCCATCTTTAGATAATTTGTGGATACCGTCCCAATACAACTTTTCTTGTTTTGAGGCAAACCATTCAGAGACCCAATTTTCCACTTCTTCGTACGTTTTGAAGTGCTGCTCAGAAAGTGCGTGTGCCATCGATCGGAATAAGTGGTAATCTGAAGGAGCAAGGTCTGGTGAATA